TCTAACAGTTATAGATAAATTTAAATTTTTCAAAATGGAATGACTTTAAGTATTTTTTTTATCCAATGTACTTTTAAAAATTCTTTTAAATTTTTTCATTTGTTACATACTCTCTTAAAATGTACAGCTAAGAAAGGGCTCAGATTTTCTCTTCTTGTGTACTAGGGCCAGTGTCCATTGGCATTCTTCAGTGAAGAAGAATTGGTTGGCAGTACATTTCTTAAATTGAAAAGAATTAAAATGACTAAAATAATGTTATTAAGGGAAAAGGAAGAATAATAACTATCAAAGGCTTTACAGAAACTCCAAAATCTGGAAGCCATTTTTAAAAGAACTTGAAGGCATAGGTTATCACCACTGAAATAGACTCAGCATTGAAATATAAACAAGCTTTTCTTCCCAATAAAAATTTTCAAAGGTTAAATGTTGTGAGCAATGTGTCAGTCTATGAGTTCACAGTAAGATGATGGTTCAGGACATCCTTAACTGTGACCTTAGGTCTCCATTGTATGTTGTAAATACATATTCATATTGTCTCATTTACTTTCTGATTTAATTTACTTTGCATTCTTATCTGGCAATCTTTCAGTTTCTTAGTATCACTAGTATCTCATTAAGCTTTTATAATATTGACAATTATTAATTTAAATAACAGAGATAATTAAACATATTTGAGAAAATATATTAAGTAATGATTGATGCATAGGGTAAATTTTTATTTTATTTTTATGCAATTTTTATTTATTTATTATTTATTTATTCAATGGTATAAATGCAAAAAGGAGGAGGGATGGGATAGGAAGTTTTTGGGGAGGGATGTGGAAAGGGAATAGCATCTGAAATGTAAATAAATAAAATATCCAATTAAAAAAAAGAAAAAAGAAAAAAGCGGGCTACTGATCTTTTTACAGTATTTTTTGTATCCAGTCAGTTTGCTGTAAGTGTGTATCAGCCTGTGACGTTATCTGGTAGAATGTTTGGGGTCATGTATGTACACTATCATATCATCTGCAAATCACAATGAGTGGGCTTCTTCCTTTCCAATTTGTATCTCCTTTGTCTTCTTTAGTATTCTTCTTGCTAGAATTTCAAGTACTGTATTAAAGAGATACAAAGAAATTCGGCAGCTTTGTCTTTTCCCTGATTTTAGTGAAGTTGCTTCAAATTTTTGTCCATTTAATTTGATGTTGGCTAGAGGCTTGCTCTACACTGCATTTATTGTATGCCTTGTGTCCCTGATCTTTAAAAGTTTTTTAACATGAAGGGTGCTGGATTTTGTTAAAAGCTTTTCAGCATCTAATGAGATAATCACATGGTTTTTTTTTTTATCAATTTCTTTATATGGTGGATTACATTGATGGAATTTCCTATCTTGAACCACTCATGTACCCCTGAGATGAATCCTAGGTGAAAATGGTGAATAACTCTTGATGTTTTCTTGGATTTATTTTGTGAGTATTTAATTGAGTATTTTTGAGTTTGTAGGCTTTCTGTTGTTTCTGTTGTTGTTGAAGTCCTGCTTTAATCCATCATGTTCTCATAACATACAAAGAGCTACTTCAATTTTCTTGTATCTCTTGAGGTTTGCTGTCTGGCCAACTATATGGTTAGTTTTGGAGAAAGGTCCAAGAGGTGCTCATAAGAAAGTATATATCTGAAAGGACCATTTGACGCATAGTATCTGTTAGCTTCATTATTTTTCTGTTTAGTTTCTATCTTGAGGAAATGTCCATTGGTAAGTGTGCGTTGTTGAAGTCTCCCAATATTAATATTAATATGTGGGGTTTGATATGTGATTTAAGCTTCAGTAATATTTCTTTTACAAATGTGGGTGACCTTACATTTCAGGGATACATGTTCAGAACTGAGAGGTCATCTTGATGGGTTTTTGCTTGGTTCAGTATGAAGTAACCTTCCCTATCTCTTTTGATTAACTTTGGTTGAAAGTTTAGTTTATTGGCTATTAGAATGTCTACCAGCTTGCTGCTTATATCTGTTTGTTAAAAAACTTTTCAAGCTCTTACTTTGAGGTAATATCTATCTTTGCTGCTGAGACATGGTTTGTGTTTGCAGTAAAATTCTGGATCCGGTTTACACATCTACTCTGTTCGTCTCTGTCTTTTTATTGTCCATTGATGTTGAGAGATATTTATGATCAATGATATCTAATTTCTGTTATTTTGATGGTATTAGTGGTTGTGGTTGTGGTAGTGGTGGAGGTGGGGTGTGTTTGTGCGCGCCAGTATGTGTGTGTGTGTGTGTGTGTGTGTGTGTTTACTTCTCTTGTTTTGGTTTTACTAGTGTGGAATTATTTTTTCTATTTTCTTGAGTGTAGGTACTCTCCTTGTGTTGGAGAATTTCTTCTAGTATCCTCTATAGGGCCAGATTAGTGTAAAGATACTGTTTAAATTTGGTTTTGTCATGGAATATCTTATTTTCTTCATCTATGGTGAATGAAAGTTTTCCTGATTATAGTAGTTTGGGCTGGCATCTGTATTCTTTTAGAGAGTGTAAGACATTTGCTCAAGCCCCTCTGGCTTTTAAAGTTGATGGAGAAGCCTGTTGTAATTCTAAAGAGTTTGCCTTTATTTGTTACTTTGTATTTGTCCCTGTGGCTTTTAATATTCTTTCTTTGTTCTGTACATTTAGTGTTTTGACTATTATGTGGCAGGAGGATTTTCTTTTTGGGTCCAATCTATTTGGTATTCTGTAAGCTTTTTGTTTGTTCTAAGGATCTCTTTCTTTAGATTAGTAAAATTTTGTTCTATGATTTTGTTGAAGATATTTTCTTGGCCTTTGAGTTAGAAATCTTCTTTTTCTATTTGTATTATTCTTAGATTTGGTATTTTCATAGTGTTCCAAGTTTCTTGGCTGCTTTGTGTTGGAAACATTTTAGCTTTAGCATTTTCTTTGAGCCATGTATCAGTTTCTTCTATCATATCTTTTAGACCTGAGAGTCTCTTTGCCATCTCTTGTATTCTGTTCATGTTTGTGTCTTTAACTCTTGTTCTCTTTTCCAGGTTTTTCATCACCAGGGTTGCTTCAGTTTGTGATTTCTTCATTGTTTCTATTTCCATTTTCAGGTCTTGAACAGTTTTATTCCTTTTCTTCAATTGTTTAATTGTATTTTCCTGTATTTTTTAAGGGATTTATTCATTTCCTCTTTAAAGGCCTCTATCATTTTCGCAAGATTCGATTTAAGGTCATTTTCTTGTGCTCCAAATGTGTTAGGATATCAAAGACTTCCTGTACTATGATAGCTGTCTTCTCATAGTATAGTATTACCCTGGCTTTTTCTGACTGTTTTTCTGCTGGCCTCCAGCCATCTGGTTATTCATAGTCTTGGCAGCCATGGCAGTACTTGATGGCAGTAAGCCTCTGAGATTGTAGATAGAAATGGTTTTCCTGGGTGGCAATATGCCTCCAGGGATGCAGGAAGAGCTGTAGTGGAGGAAATGGAGTGCAAAGGGACAAGGCAGAACTTACTACTGCTACATTTGCCTGGAGGGGCCAGAAGGCAGGAAATTGGGATGGGGCCACACCTGGTAGTAACAGATGGCTGTAGGCCCCTTTGTAACATTTTAAATATTACTCTCCATTTTCAAATTGATATCCTATTTTTATTATTGTTGAATATGGATAGATAGATGATAGATAGATAGATAGATAGATAGATAGATAGATAGATAGATAGAATTCATGAAATTCTTAGGCAAATGGATGGAACTGGAAAACATCATCCTGAGTGAAATAAGCCAATCACAAAAGAACACCCATGGTATGCATTCACTGATAAGTGGATATTAGCCCAAAACCTCAGAATACCAAGATACAGTCCACAGACCACATGATGCTCAAGAAGAAGGAAGACCAAAGTATGGGTGCTTCAGTTCTTCTTAGAAGGGAGAACAAAATACTCACGGGAAAAAATATGGAGACAAAGTGTGGAGCAGAGACTGAAGGAAAGACCATCCAGAGACCTTCCCACCTGAGGAATCATCACATATACAGTCACCAAACCCAGACACTATTGTTAATGCCAAGAAGTGCTTGTTGACAGGAGCCTGATATAGCTGTCTCCTGAGAGGTTCTACCAGAGCCTGACAAATACAGAAGACGATGCTCACAGCCAACCATTGTATTAAACACGGGGTCCCCAATGAAGGAGTTACATAAAGGACTGAAGGAGCTAAAGGGGTTTACAACTCCACAGGAAGAAAAACATTATTAACCAACCAGACTCCCAGAGCTCCCAGGGAATAAGCACCAACCAAAGAGAACACATGGGGAGACCCATGGCTCCAGCCATATATGTAGCAGAGGATGGCCTTGTTGAGCATTAATGGGAGGGAAGGCCCTTGGTCCTGTGAAGGCTTGATGCCTCAGTATAGCAGAATGCCAGGGCAGGGAGGTGGGAGTGGGTCGGTGGGGAAACACCCTCATAGATCAGAGGGGGATGAGAGAGGATATTTCCAGAGGGGAAACCAGAACAAGGGAAAACATTTGAGATGTCAATAAAGAAAATACCCAATAAACAATGAAGTGCTGAGAATAAATGGTTGTTACTATGCTTAAATAAATAAATGATTGTTACTATGTATGGATGCCTGATGGTCATATTATAACTTAAAAATATGCAAACCATTAATGGTTCAAGTGGTTTTGCAAAGAGTTAACAGATGGACATGGGTGCCTGAGGGAAAGAATGAAATGTTAGGAAATGGCTACATTCCTCTGGCTGTGACATGAACTTCAGACATCAGGAAGTAGCTGGGACTATGGTGATCTGTAACCTCATGGAAGCTAGTCATAGTATACAAATTAGGAAAATGTATATCTACACGTCCAGCAATGTTGATGGGGCAGTTAACATTCCCTGAGGGGTCACGAGGCCCTCGTCTAGGATTATACATCTTCTTTTCTCCTGCAGACCATCTCTGCATAGCTTTGGGGGAGGTCTGATGGACTATATAGGTGGTGGGAAGTTAACCAAAGGCTGAATTCTAGTGAAGCAGCTTTCCTCAGTTGGTACCCACACTGTGGTGGGATTTTTCAGACATGCAGCTGTCTAAGATCCAACCACACCCCTGTAAGTATTCCCTTACTTAGGCTCCTTAAAGCTTAATTAATGTATAATTTTATAGCAATAGACATTTGCACAGAACACATTCTCTGCTGTCATGGAGTACTTACATCTTTGCTGCATAAGCGAACTGTGCAGGATATTTAGAATAGTGCTTCTCAGAAAGGTTAAACTTCCTTGTTCCAGAGATATATGACAACTGTAGAAAGTGTGCTTCCTTGATTGGAGTGAGGAGAAAAGGTGGGTACATTACTGATTTCTGATGTGTGGAAACTAGAGATGCATCCACACAGCACCCACAGGACAACTCCAGAGCAAGGAATGGCCTATCTCAAAAAGGATGTGCTGCTGAAACTGAGAACTGTGGCTTGAATGAGTCCCCTGGAGTCTCTGGGTCTAATTTGTCACAACTCCTAAATCATACAGTTAACACTTTCAACTTCCAAGGTACCATGGACTGCCTGACTTGAGTCATCCTGATTAAACTTGCAATAATCAGGTAAGACAGACAACACTAGCAGATGCGTGTCTTGTAGGCCTTTGAGAATTTGGTTTAATCCTAATAAATTTGCAAATAAAAATGTGAGCTACAGGAGCTAGCTTCTTGCCTTTAAGTAATATTCTTGATAATATTTTTAAGAAAATGAGTTAATGAAAATTATAGGATATATTTTAGGAAATGTAAAAACGTAGCTTATTTAGACATTGTATATTTCTCCATTAATTAACTGTAGGTTGTTTGTGTGTGTCCATCAAATGTCAAATAAACTCAGGGAAGAGCACCATGTCTTTGGAAAAATAAAAGGCAGCATAAATTCTGAAAGTATTATTTTACTTAATTAAATATTACACTTAATATATTGTTTAGTCAACTTGTACATTACACATTCTGTGATATATTTATTTAGCTATAGAGTGTAGGTATTTATTTCCTGCACATAAATATTTTCACAATTCCCAATTTAATTTTAGACATTTCAAGTAACATTTATAAAAGTCTCTTTAAAATTTAGTTTTCTTGAAGGCTTGTAATTTATTTCCTCTTTTTATTTTCATGGATTGTGTGTAGTGTACACATGTATGGGTCTTCCTTTTTGCATATGTGTTGCAGGGCATATGAAAGTTTTGATGTACGGAAAATCACTCTCCATCATTCTGTAACTGTACTCATAGAGACGGGGTCTCTTAATGAAATGCATAAGACTACCGTTAGCACTACTCATGCCAGCAAACTTGTGCTGTGGGTTCGAGGTCCCCACCTGCAAACGTACAATTATAGGAAAACTGGAATATCACAGTCCAGGAATTCAAATTCCAACCTTCACGCTTTCTTGCTAAGTATTTTAACTATGAAGACATCTCCCCAGTCCAAGACTCACATTTCAATATAAAGAAACACTTTGTAGTAGTGTCATTAAAGTATAAATTTCCTTTTTATAGTGACAGTTGATGTTTCCTCCCTCTTGAACTGACAAACTGCTGATGCATTTTAGGTTTATGTCTGTCAAAAGCACATTGACAGTGAAGCTAGCACATATCATTGTCCTAGAACCCCTCTTATCATGCCATCTAAAGGAAATTGTTAACTAAATTTCTATAGTGGAAGATGTATTTCTTTTCTCACCCTGTTCAGATATATAAAGCTGTGTCACAGAGGTATGGTGGCTAGACAAGGTTTCACTACATGACATGACTCTTGTGACTTCACATGAATAGTTTGTCTCTGTGATTTCATTCCTTATAGCAGGCACACTTCTGCTGCTGCTGTCAAACTTGCTCATATGGGAGAATGCAGCCTCTGTGCCCAGATTTATCATGAAAGATGGGGATGACCAGAAGGTCCTCAACTACATTTATAACATGACAAGCACCATATCTGAGAACTTCAACAACCTCAGCTACATTTTTAACATGACAAGCACCATATCTGAGAACTTCAGCAACCTCTCTTCAGAAACATTAAATGACTTTGTAAGTAC